CACACACACACACACGCGCACGACAGATGAGAGGTGTAGACAGCACACCGATTTATCAATTTGTCGAGGCGATAACACATTGCCTATGGTCTGACAGCTGTTCAGGTAAACAGAGGAAATTGTCCAAGTCGGCCCCACACATAGAATTCTGTCGTGGCCCCTCACTGTCCAGGAGAACCGTGGTTGTCATACATTTAGGCGCTCTTCTTCTTCTTCTTCTTCTTCTTCTTCTTCTTCTTCTTCTTCTTCTTCTTCGATTTCATAAGGCCTATTGTCAACCAAAAATAAAGCCTTGCTACTATTTTGTAACCGTGATCAAACACACACACACACAAACACAAACATACACAAACGCAAACACACACACAGACACACACACACACACACACACACACTCACACACACATACACAAACGCAAATACACACAAACACACGGACACAAACACACTTGCACACACACACACACACACACACACACACACACACACAAACACTCACACACACGTCTTATTGGACTCATTGGCAATTCCTATAAGATAAAAATACCCATGCCAAAAATAGCATTGGGACGATCCAAGATTGAATTGGGGATTCCCCAGCATCTCTTCAAACTGTATACTAGGCTAATTGGCTTTTTCGGCCAAAAACAAGAGCGACTCTGCTTTTCTTTTTATACAGATAGTGTGTTATTCCTGACTCAAATTCCCTAAAGAAAAGTTACCCATAGGCTGGCATAAAAATAAAGGTCTTTTATGTCTTTCGTAAACCAGACTTGCTATGATAAATTAATTTTTAAGTGGATGTATTTGATTTATGTATGGTTCTTCTGGCAACCTTTTACCTCCTGTTCAAATATCATTCATAATTTCCTTAGAGGGTGATTTCCGGTTTCGAGTTGCTGGCTGCTACCATTTTAGTGTCTCTGCTGCTACTATAATATATATCTCTAAGCGACCACAACAATTGAAAATCCACTTGTGATAATCTTCTACCACATTGTCGGTAGTTTGCCTCTTGGCCGTTAAACCGCACAGCGTGCGCTGTCCCGGATTTCATTTGCTCTGTTCCAAGGAAATGAAGTGATGACCAGGATTCTCTTCTACTGGTTTTTCCATTCATAATTTAGTCATCATGATCTCCAGATTAGATATCTAGATCTAGAATCTAGGCACAGTACCGCGCCTATCGTTTTTAACAAAAGTTTGAGCGTGTTGGATATCTTAGAGATTCAGCTGTCTAACAAGTAACAAGGCCAACACCCCTCACTGATAAGCAAATAATTATACAGGCCTTATCGTATCTGAGCGAGTTTTCCATTCAGCAATTTGCACCACACAACTAGATATCTACGTGACCCGGTTTCTTTAATAAACACACGGTAAGATAAACTTATTGTAGTTCACTTAGACCTATCCTATCCTCAATGCCTACATTAGGCTACATCTCCTTAAATTCTGCCTTCTTCAGTGCCAGGTCTGAAAAATAAGACAAAACATGTTCAGTCACTGTTATTCGCCACTCATTCCACTGTTTGGATACTCTTGAACTTGAGTCTAGAAAAACGTTACTTTAATTCCCTGTCTTTTCGTCCCTGTCACTGTCAGCCATTTGTTCAAGTTCTTGGAATAAGTTCTTAATCTCTCTTCTATTTTTCCGCTGATCCGAGGGCTATATGTTCAAGGTGTCTGGATCAAGGCCTTTGTTCACCCCCGGCCAATGGAAGAGTCCTCGATCACAGCTGCGCTGTTTCTTCCAAATAATCTCTAGAGACATGAGTGGTCTCCATCCTATATACTTATAGTCGAACCTGCCATGACGGCCTCCTGTGTTATACGGACACTTTTCTCCATGACAGTGTGTGGCCGTTTTACACAGGTTTGACTGCTTGAGAACCTGCGCTAGGTTGCAGGGGGCAAAAAAGCGCTAGGTCTTGGTGGACCCAATTCTGAGACTAATTTGATTTGAAAGTGCACAACTCAACTCCTACCTGAAATATTTTTATTGTATTATTTTACTTTCACTCTGTCTCGTGCCCTATGCTGGTGGTTCATTTTTATCCATTTTATACACATTTTGTTTAGTGAAACTGTCACTAGTTTTTTAGAGTTTGAAATAATTGATGGTTTTTATTTGAAGTTATTATCCTTTCCATGATATATTTCACTAAGGCTCTTTGACAGACCATGTTTTTTCCTGGAGTTTTCTTAGGCGGAGACCACTGGATTACGTATATATAATATTTTAATTTTATTAATGAAATTGTCACAGGTCAAGTTTTGAAGATCTTTCATTTTTTTCACAGATACCTTTTTTGTGAGTGGTATAAAGAGGGGAATCATCAGGATGGGATGCATAAATGGTAAATTTTTAAAGTCTATTATTATTTTCTTTTATGTTTCTTTCAACCTGTAGCCTAATGCATTTTTTTTTTGTCAATGAAAATGAAAAATCCAAAGTAAGATTCAATTCAATGAATTTACGTATTTACTGGACCTGTTTTGAAGATGAAAGTGTAGAGAGAAGCATTGTTCCAACCATGGAGGTTTATTTCTTCTCTTTTTTTCTTGTCAATTTATCAGTTACATGTTTATATTTTAGCTTTCAATTAATTTTCATCAGATTTTTTTACTTTTTTTAAAAAACGAAAATGATTAAGAAAGTAGAAAATAGAAAAAAAATCCAGCATTCTTTTCAAAAACAAAGAAATGTTGGATTTTAATTACCTCTAACGGGTGATGCTTTACTTGTAATCTCCGGCAAGCCACTCCTAGTTGCTCATGGTCAGAACCGCTGTGCTGGTGAGCCGCTGTTAAATCTCTTTTACCAGGAGATCATTCGTTAGATGAAGAACTATCGAAAAAGGTTCAATTTTTTTTGTTTAATGACCAGTTGTTTCGTGACAATGATGTCAATTTCAGATTTTGTACCTAAATAGGGCTCCGGATAGTGGGTTTGCCTCCCCCACGGAGATAAAGAGTTAATATCTGTTTACTACACAGGTAAGACAGAGGCTACAAAAACAAGGAAGGACCGCGCAGTCTTCAGGATGGTACGTTTTTCCCTGATCTGAATTCTAATTGTGTCACTGCGCTTCTCCCGACTCCAACAAACATCATAGAATATACGTACTGTTCTTTACAGGCTGAATGATTATACACACAGTTCTTTACATGCTGAATAATTATACACACATTTCTTTACACGCTGAATAATTATACACACATTTCTTTACACGCTGAATAATTATACACACAGTTCTTTACACGCTGAATAATTATACACACAGTTCTTTACACGCTGAATAATTATACACACAGTTCTTTACACGCTGAATAATTATACACACATTTCTTTACACGCTGAATAATTATACACACAGTTCTTTACACGCTGAATAATTATACACACAGTTCTTTACACGCTGAATAATTATACACACAGTTCTTTACACGCTGAATAATTATACACACAGTTCTTTACACGCTGAATAATTATACACACAGTTCTTTACACGCTGAATAATTATACACACAGTTCTTTACACGCTGTTCTAGATACACACTGTTGTTTACACACTGTATACAGAATGAAGACACCTGGAAGAAGTTGGAGTATCTATTTTATACCTCTTGAAATGCTGAAGACAGACATAGGCACTGATGGTTCTCCACTCATCTTTCTACGTGGGTGCTCTAAAAAAATTACCTGTACTGTACTAATATTTTCTCTTCTCCCATTTGTTCAAATTCTCGTCAGTGAACTTTTCTTGGTCAACCTGTGTCTTTTGCCATCTAATTCTGGTACTAATTTTGTGGAGGGATTATTTAGATGGCTGGAGGGCTCCACTAATAATAGGCACATCCTGCTGTATTGACGCATGTACACGGCAAAAGAGTATCCCCCCCTGTCATAGCACAAAGTGTTTATACATGTGGCCTACAAAAATGAGCCGATTTTTGAGTTAAAGTATTCCGTCTGCGTTATATGCAAGGTCATGTTATGAGTGAGTGTAAATGTCATTTCCTTTCTTTTCCCTCTCTTCTGTCTGTCTGTCTGTCTTACTTTCCCTGAGCACTAAATGTTTTTTCACTTTTTTTTCCTTTGTGGACAGAAGCGGAACGTTTTGTGGATGTTGTGGTGTCGTATGAGCTTCCTGAAGGCTCCACCACGTACGAAACGTTCACCTTGAACCCAGCCATGACGGTGAGGAGATTGTCTGAAGAAAAAACAAAAATACAACTTGTGTCTTTCTTCTTACCGTTCGTGATTTCATTCACCTCCTCCTCTTTCATCTGGGAGAAGTGCTCTTAGATATGATGCAAAAGCAAAAAAACCCAACCAAAATGGACTAATGAAGATTACTTTTTTTTTTCAAAACTTTAAAGTCCATCTGAAATGGAACGAAAAGTATTCTCCAAAAAGTTCTATTCTTTCGATGAAGTTTTTAGTTCTTTCTATTCTTTCGATGAAGTTGTTAGTTCTTTCTATTCTTTCGATGAAGTTGTTAGTTCTTTCTATTCTTTCGATGAAGTTGTTAGTTCTTTCTATTCTTTCGATGAAGTTGTTAGTTCTTTGCTTTTTGCTTTTTCCTTTTTGCCATGTTTTTTCCCCAGCATGAAATGCCGGTTGACATGTCAATGAGAAATGTGTTTCTCTTTTGTCAAAGAGAGAATTTGTGAAAGAGTAGGCTCTTCTCTCCGAAATGTTCTATCTACTTTACATTAATTGTTTGGAATTTTTGTGAGTGAGTGGTTGAAGGGCACCATTGATAGGTGTTACCTCTTTACTTTTCCTCTGCTGTTTCTGTCTGTCTATCTGTCTATCGTCTGTCTGTCTGTCTGTCTATCGTCTGTCTGTCTGTCTCGCTTTTTCCCAGCACTAAATAATCATTGTTGTGTCAATGTACTTCTCTTTACTCAGCAGACAAAGAAACAAAACTCTGAGATTCATTTTGTGTGTTTTGTTTCGAATATTTTTGTTGTTGTTGCAGGTGGCGCAATTCAAGAGAGATGTGTCTGTACGTCTGCACCTGGAACTGAACCGTATTCGGATAGACAGTGGGAATGGAACGACAGAATTCCCTAACGGAAGCAGACTAGAAACTTTGGGCATCAAGAGCGGTTCTGAAGTGAGGGTCAGATCCAGATAATGGCGGCTAGTTTCTGTTGGAACCCGTGTTGGTTGTGTCGGTGGAAGTGTCTAGTGTGGACAATCACACCCACCGTTTGGCCGCAGTTTGTCTCTTTCTCTTCAACAAAGTCATGGGAATAGAGCAGGATAAGGTAACTTAGGCTTTGTGAGAACATCTGGGCAGAGAAATGAGGGACAAACCACGATTGATGATGTCTGATTGAGGTCTAGTTCTTGAAGAAGAAGAAGAAGAAGAAGAAGAAGAAGGAGAAGGAGCAGGAGAAGGAGAAGAAGAAGAAGAAAAAGTAAAAGAAGAAAAAGTAAAAGAAGAAGAAGAAGAAGAAGAAGAGAAGAAGAGAAGAAGAGAAGAAGACAGTAAAAGAAGAAGAAGAACAAGAAGAATGTGGAAGTGATTTTATTTTGGTCTCCATCTATGCACACCCTGAGAATGTTCCTGACTTGTTGAGATAGTCAAAGTGGCCTTGTACATAACATTAACATAGTACATGGATTGTGTTATTTTTCTACCTTTGTTTCTTAGCTTGACCGTAATGCCTACAGATGTCTGTGTTGTGGTGGTTAATGAGAGAGCTAGTTTGTTTATTGTTGAGTCTCTCTGTCTGTCTATCGGTCTGTCTGCTGGGATTTTATCTCCCTCTGTCGGTCTGCTGAGATCTTTTCTCCCACTCGACCTATGTTGGGCCCGACAGAATTGGCTCGAAGCAGCGTGTTTGCTAAATGATCCAAAAAACAAACAAACAATCAAAACATGTTTCAGGCAATTGTGTTATGACCACGATGAATTCATATAAATAGAGAACAATGGTTGTGTCATAGTGTTCTGTTGTGTGTAATGTGTTGTAGTGTTCTGTTGTGTGCAATGTGTTGTAGCGTTCTGTTGTGTGTAATGTGTTGTAGCCTTCTGTTGTGTGTAATGTGTTGTAGCCTTCTGTTGTGTGTAATGTGTTGTAGCCTTCTGTTGTGTGTAATGTGTTGTAGCCTTCTGTTGTATGTAATGTGTTGTAGTGTTCTGTTGTGTGCAATGTGTTGTAGCGTTCTGTTGTGTGCAATGTGTTGTAGTGTTCTGTTGTGTGTAATGTGTTGTAGTGTTCTGTTGTGTGTAATGTGTTGTAGTGTTCTGTAGGGTGTAATGTGTTGTAGCGTTCTGTTGTGTGCAATGTGTTGTAGTGTTCTGTAGGGTGTAATGTGTTGTAGCGTTCTGTTGTGTGTAATGTGTTGTAGTGTTCTGTAGGGTGTAATTTTTTGCAGTTTTTTGTAGTGTGTAATGCGGTGCATAATTCTTCTATATCTCTATGGGCATTGTTACAGATTCTTTTTTCTATACAGTTGAGAAGGCAGGGGGTCAGTGGGTTGTGTCCTGGGGCAAGACACAGTGACCTTAGATAAGTGACAGGCTGCTGCACGCCAGCAACCAACAACTGTGTTTGTGAGTCTGTCCAACAGTGTGTTTGTGAGTCTGTGTGTGTTTGTGAGTCTGTCCAACAGTGTGTTTGTGATTTGTTTTATGATTGTGGGACCAACTGGTTGCTTTTGAAGAGGTCACAGTTGTCTCTCAAGACATGGTACCCTGTTCCTAGATTTTAAAAAAATGTGATTCTTGGAAGCAAGTGGTTCACTCCTTTACTTCATTACCAGCATTTTTGTTCTTTGGTCTTTTGATAGAATTTTCTCCCTACTGCATGTCAGGTATACTTTCTACCACAGTTTGAATGTCTTTTCATGGACAACGTGTGGAGGGTATCTTTCACTCTTTGCTATATCTTTCTACTTCTTTACTCTCCCCTTACTTGTTTCTCCTTTTTTTCTTCCACTGAAGAACCGCAGTCGGATTTGCATAAAATTCCTTTTTTTTCTCCGATTCTGTTTCCATTGGTCTTATGTAACTTATGGTAAATGACATGAAAATTACCAGGTTTATTTTTAGTATTTCTGGAACACATTATCTCGACATGAAAACATCAAGATTTATTTGCCGTTGTATATGTAAGCAACTTATGGTAATCTGTCCCCGTAGGATTATGCGATTGTGCGGCCGCAGCGCGCCCGCGTTTTTTTTGCGTAATTCTGCAACATTTGCATAATTTGGGATTATCCGCGTTTCCCCCCTTTTTTTCACAAAATAGTGAATGAATGCCTCGCCACGTGACTAAAGGGGCGTAATCACCGTAATAACTCTCATTTAAGTGAAAAGTTGGTTATTTCCCTTGTTAGAAGATCTTGGTTATGGGTTGTGATTTTGTTCCTTGAGCATGTTCAATTTTCCAATCC